TTGACCGAGTCTTTCTATTCAATATCCTCTCCTCTAACTCAACAAATGACAAATTACAGCTCTCTTTAACTCGCATCGATGAATCATCTCAACATAACATTGGTTTTGGTCGTTCAGTACAGTGGCTTGATAATGAAACAGTAGCCATTTCTGTTTTCACCGTTGCTGATCGATCTTGGTCTAAATCCGAAGTATGGGTATTCGATGTGAATCGTCCATTCACTGTACCTCTTTTTGTCTTTCCAAACAATCAACAAAGAATACCAATGTCATCATCGCCTCTTTTTCTTCATATGCTTTCCTGGTCGGAAAACTTGTATTTATTGACTGATCAAGCTCGAGCAATACTAATATTATCGAGAGCGCCCGGTCTCTGTTCTGTAGGAACTGAAAATCTACATCGTATATTAGTTTTTAAAGAGGCACCATGTATAGCTGGTACATATAGAAACTTTTCCAGCTTAGGACCATGTATTGTGTGCCCACCGCAAACAAAGAATCCAATGAATCATCCATGTATTCAATGCAGCCCATGTTTACCTACTGCATTCTGTCCCATGGGTTCTGTTGACGATACTGTTTCGCTTGATACTTATCCATCATACACACAAACATTCACTTATCCGGACTCACCCGATATGAACAACTATGACGATATTCTCGTGCAAAATATGTTTACTATTGGTCATTCGGCTCGTTGTCTCATCATCTCACCTGGGTTTTGGGCAATTCTAGCCATCATCTTCTGTTCCGCCATTTGGCTCATCATGCTTGTATTGAAAATGGATAAATATAAAAAAACAAGTCATCGTCAAAATCAAGCCAAAAGATTTTTCAAAAACATAGACATTATAAACGACGGTGAACGATGGATAGGTGGACTCTTTTCATTCGCCATTATTGTCATATTCGCCTTTGTTTTCTGGTTCTCAACTGATTATATTAAATTGTATCCGATTGAAACGGCGAGTGAAATGCGTGCCTCCTGTGATACGACGATGCGTAATGCTATGTTTAGTAATGCTCTACAGCTACCACTGCCAAATCCAGATGGAAGTCAATGGGCTATTTTCGCGATGCTTGACAAACAACCGTTTACAATGACTGTTGATCTAGTTAATACAAGAGCTAGTTGTTCGGATATTACTTTTCAGCAGAATAGACCAGGCGTCAAGTATCTATACATGCCCATCAGTGAAAATGATTGCATCCTCCAACCGGACAACATTACACGATCTGTGAGTGTCGTACTGCCAGCACATCGTGTGAATATACAGCTCAATATCACTGGATCTCACTTTGTTGGCGGATTTCGTCTGTGTCTTCGTGGTCCTCGTCGTGTTGATGGTGTGAATACAGTGCACACACTTGACATATGTCAATTTTTTTGCACACCAAATCAAACAATTTCGCGTATCGCAACACTTTCTGTCGTGCTCATCAAAGTTGTCAATCAAACCAAACCACTGAAAGTTGGCGATCAATCACGTTACGATGGCCGTTGGACAGTAACATTTGGAGAAATTTCACTTTCGGACGACATGATCTATGAACAAGATGGATATTATCTTCGTTATGCTTCTCCACGAACGACATTGACGTTCACATTCAGCGAACAACCATTTTTTCTGCAAAATAATCAATCTCCGATCATTCGTGTCGCCGAACTTACCTTTCATACACTGCTCTTCTGTACTCTTATCATCGAACTATTTGCAATAGCATATCTTATCATTAGACTAGTTTGTAAGCCTATTGGACAATCGTTTACTTATTATCATCATTCACGAAAACACGACACAAATACAGTTGAAAATCGATCTTCAAAGTTTTTGGCAATGTCAGACACTGTCATCAGAATAAAAGATATGGAATTAGAAAGCAGCCCTGCTCATATAAACTCGTTAGAAAAAATCGAAGATCAATTTGTGTCAATTTTGCCTGCTTACGAGCATAACGAGACTTTTTACAGACACACAAAAGAAACGAACATGACCGATCCATACGATGACAATCGATCAATACAATCGAACTCAGAAATTGACAGAACTAAATTTTAAATCGTTTCTCACTCATTAACAGTTAATCTATATTATTCATAGTTGAAGAGTCATGCTTCATTCTTTGTTATTAATTCTTCGAAAAGATGTACTAGATTTCAAATGCTAAAGTGTAACTCTCTTCTGCGTATTTTGATTATTTTGTTATCATTTTTTTATGGTGGTATCTATTGTGCTGTTTTTCTGCATCATTGCATCAAATAATGAAAATATAATCAGACTGTTGTACATGTATGCAATGGTATCCAATGACGGAACTTGAAACGATGAGTTTCTCGTATCGGAGAATAATGTTGCCAGATAGTGGTAACGGAAAATTCGTCAAATAGCAAGTAACTGACGATGAAACAGTTGCTAACTAACGAATAACTGATTACAGAAAAGTTACTGAACATTTACTGTCTGTCAAGAAAAAAACTGCCTGTGAGTATTTTTGCAATAACTCTATAACGGTAACAGCTGGCGACCTGTGACTTTCACCAACTGGAAGAGTAGAAGTTGGAACATCTTTTTCTCCGATAATATATAAGACGAAATCATTTTAAAAGTAATCATCTTCGAAAAACATGCAAAACAATGCATGAAAATGAATTTCTATCTAGGTGAAATTTTGATTTTACTCTTTGATTTAGATAGAGAGGCCTGAGATCTATAGTTCAAGATACAATACGCTTTCTTACTTTTCATTACATTTTTATCGAAATTCCACGCTATTATAAGAAAAGTGCAAAAACTTAGTAAAAAAAATCAACAAAATTCCCTATTATTTGCGCATGTAAATACATGATTCCATTCGCTCAACGTTAGAATGTAATAGGAGAACCATTTGTATTGTATCTTGAACCATAGATCTCAGGCCTCTCTATCTAAATCAAAGGGTAAAATCAACATTTCACCTAGATGAAAAGTCATTTTCATGCATTCTTTTGCATGTTTTTTGAAGATGATTACTTTTAAAAGGACTTCATCTTATATATTATCGGAGAAAAAGATGTCCCAACTTTTACTCTTTCAGTTGGTGAAAGCCACAGGTTGCTAGCCGTTGCCGTTACCGAGTTACTGCAAAAATATTCACGGCCAGCTTTTTTTAACAGACAGTAGTTTTTGGTATGACCCTCCCTTCAGTCGAGGGAGAACCATAATTTTCCTTAAAAAGTCTTTCCTTGACGAAAAATAATCAAACTCAAAATTTTCAAAAAACTGATTATAGATTCGGATTCTCCGACCCTGATTACCTTGGCCCGATTTTATAGAAACTTCTTACATATGCATGGACATGTGACTGTACATGTGAGTGTACACGTGACTGCAAACAGACACACAAACAAGCAAACTCATTTTATTACATATGATCTTCTCTTCAGTTAAGAGAATAAATAAACACACAAATGAAAAGTTAAAAATAAACATTACAAGAAGGCAATAGTAAAAGAAGACGTTTTCTTTAACTGTTGCTTTCTTGTAATGTTTACTTTTAACTTTTCATTTGTTTATTTATTTATTTATTTACTTTTATGACTTATTATGTTGTGAGTTAACAACGAAACGTCGCAATAAAAATTATTAAAATGGTTTTAATTATCCTCTTATTTTTAATTAAATATTTTCATCATACAACCAAAAGAAAACCTAAGAGAATTTTGCTATCAAAGAGTGCTATATATGTCAAAAAGTATTTATTTTTGTCTTCAGCAAGCCATGAATCGATGAGTATAATCATGGGTCGTCCGTTGTTGTTGTTTGTGTACATACGATGTATGGAGAGAAAGAAAGATAGATAAGGAAAAAAGAGTTATCGCTGGAGTATTTTTCTGTTTGCCAGTCTTGAGTAGAAAGTCATTGATTAATCTTATCGTGTGCATAAGATGCTTCTTTTATTGATGCTTGTTTTCATCGCTTTGCTAGTGTTTTATATAAAGTTCAAATATTTTACTCTTCGCGGCCCATTGCCTGGCTTAGCACCTCATTTTTTCTTCGGGAATATAATTCAATCGGGTATTCTATTGAATAACGCCAGTCTTCCTCAAGTCTATTCAGCATTCAAAAATCGTTTTGGTGATATTTTTCAATTTTGGTTCGGTTCCTGGCGTGTCATTATCGTGAGTGGTATTATTGATGTGCAGCATATATTTACTCACCGAAATATTTACGATCAAGGTGATTTGTACATTGAACAAATCAATGTGTTATTTCCTGACGCTCTCATTTGTCTCAAAGGTGAGTTTGATTCTTTTTTTTTTATTGACGAACTAGTATTATCATCTGTAGGTGCCAAGTACAAACGACACGCCTCGCTCACTCTGCCATTATTTCGTCGTAACAAGATCACCTCGAATTTAGATTTGATTATCGATTGTACGGATAAATTATTGGTGAAATGGCGCAGCGCTCCCTTTAACCACGTTCATCTCGATATTGTTCAACAATGTCAAAATCTTCTCCTTGCCATATTTGGATTGATCGCATTTGATTATGATCTAGAGACACTCCATAACAATGGCAATAATGAGCTCACTAAAGCACTTAAAGAGTTCTTGAGCACAGTCGACATGATTCTCTATGCACCGAAAATCCTATCTACTATTTACTTGAAATTGAGTCGTCGTCATCGACGAGCACGGGCAACGATCGAACGATATTTGTATCGAATGATCGATCATGAATTGGCTGAAAATCCTGAATTGATAAAAGAACGAAAGAGAACAAGTTTGATTGCTTCACTTGTTTCCGCATTGCAAAAAGAGGAAAAAATCGAAACGACAAAAATTGAAGAAGAAAAAAAAGGTGAGAATCATTTTTTGATTCATTCTTTTTGCTATGTTGTCTAGGGAAAAAAAAGTTGTTGTATTAACGAAAATCTCTCGATCATATTGCTAATTTTTGTTTGTGAACATAGGTCTGTCTCGAAGTGAACTATTGCATGAGATGCTTTTCTTTCTGATGGTTGGTTATGAAACGACTTCTACCGCTTTGGCTTGGATGATTCATCTTATAAGCAAATATCCACGAGTGCAGCAAAAGATCAAAGCAGAATTAATAGACAATAATGCTCAAAAAGATTTATCTCTGGAACGTCTCGATTCATTGGTTTATTTGGATTGCGTTATTAATGAAGTACTTCGCTTTTCTCCGCCAGGCGATGGTACATTTCGCACATTAACTGTGGACGATCGTCTACCCGAGAGTGGTGCTCAACTATTGGCAGGTGATCAAGTGCTTATTCCATTTATTAATCTTTCACGAGACACTCGATATTGGTCAATCGATCCAGAACTATTTTATCCTGAAAGATTTCTTGGTGAAGATAAAAATCATCATCCCTATGCATCGATACCATTCGGTAGTGGACATCGTCAGTGTATTGGACAAGATTTGGCTCGATTTGAACTCAAGGTAATTACTGCGAGATTGATGCAATATGTAACATTTGGTGATGGTGGCCCACAAGTCAATGTTGGTGGACATATTCAAAGTATGACTATCATGCCTAAGCATGTTGGTGTTACCATCGAATTTGATCAATAAGAAAAGCATATTTTCTTTGTGACATCACTTACTTGACGAAAAATACACTCTATTTTCAATAGTAGTTTCATAATTATACAGCACTTTAATATTCACCCTCTCGAGGATTTTCGATGTATTGATATATTTTGAAGCATAACAAGGAAAAATTAGGGTGTGGGTGTGGGTAGAAGATGTTTAGTATTTGTCCAATACATGTGAATACATCATATATTGTCTTTTTTCCTATCAAGTATAATATATTCTTTGTTAGTTTTTTTTTCTGTTCTCTTGTACTTACATGTATATCTAATGCATATATGAATTTGTCCTTTCCTGCCATATATATTAGTAATTTCCCCTACTATTGTCGTCCTATATATACCTACACATCTTTTCTTCTGAGGCTATCTAGTTGCTCTCTAGTTCTTGTGTCTTCTTATTCTCCTTGTTGTCTTCCTCTACCTTTACAAGATTACTGTTATTAATAAACTGAATTCACATTCACATAAAAAGTCACAAAACTTACAGAAGATTACAATATGATGACATCATTTCGAAATATCTGTCTGAAATCTACTGTATATCTGCTGAATATGTTTGGTTTGGTGTATTTTTTTTTATTTGCCAAAGGTAGCTTGTAATAGATCAAGAAGCGAACAAAGCATGGCTCATAACAGAGGTCGAAAACGAACCGAACCGAACCTGAAGTAATTTCGAAGCAAAAAAAGTTGCACACAATTTAATGTCCAAGGACAAAAAATTAACTAAACTATCATTGATTTAGAGAAACATAATGCCGTCAAGAAAGATAAAAACGAACATTTATTGGTTGTTTCACATGCTTAAATTAATATGTATGCATTGCTGTCTACTTTTGCTCTTAGTTCTAGTTACACAAATTGTGTTTATGATGACAGGTCACTTTTATGTGGCATAATTCTTTGATTTTTCTTTTATAAATTTCTCCATTTTTCTAAAGTGCGATGCATAATCGTCCATGGTGATACGAGATTAGTATCAGCATTAGAATATTTCTAATTCTCGTGTATCAATGTTAACATATAAATTAATCTGTAAATGTATTTAGCAGTGTTAAATGATATGAATATAAACTTCCATGTGACAATTTTGATCGTTCGAAAATTAAGTTTTGATTTTTGGTCTAGTCTTGATTAAATGGCAGTAATACTACTCCATTCAAACTGCAGCCGAACTGAATCGAACTCGATCTAGAAAAACTCGGTTCGATTCGACCTCTGGCTCGTAAGCAAGCTTTCTCATTGGTAAATGCGTTAAATATTAAGAATTTTCTTACATTATTAAATTATTCATATTCATTTTAAATTTACAAATATCACAAATAAAAACAAATGATATAATCATTGTGAGCAGTACATAATGTAGGTCGACTAGAGCAGAATATTGATAGCTCATAGCCGCACTTTAATGGGTGCAGAAAAATAGCTAACATACCCACACCCATCCTCTATTATAAACACAAGAGATATTGATCAATTTTTTCAAAGAAACAAATCATATTCGCTCATTGGAAACATTTTTTGAACACGGATTTATTATCGATTCTTTATGAATTGAGAACATTTGTTCAGTTCACTGATACCATATCATGTCAAACATTTCGGTATCAAAGCAAAGACATTGATCGATATTTATTTGATATTTGAACGATTACAACACTTGTCGAATATAACATTTTGAAGAATGCCTTTATCGTTGCTTTCCGTAACTGAATGGCGAACACAATTGAGACAAGATGTAACATATCGATATCATCAAGATTCTTTACACATTTGGCTCGACCAATCACTTAACGAACGAGATCGAACCACAAATTCCGAGAAGTTGAGATGATGAAATAAGAAACAGGTAGCTTCCATGACGCGTTTGGACAGCTCAATCTCATGTGCGATATTTTATTTGTTCATTGAGTTCGATAAAATAAACCCGGAATTATTTACTTGGTATCGTTGAGTGAGCAATAGTTACTACTAGCGAGAGCCTGTGCAAAGTAATATTGTACGGTGTGTGTCTGTTAGCGTGTCAAGAGTCAAAAGCCAATTCTTAACTCACTGTTGACCTTTAACTCAACACAGACACCCAGACACTAAACATTATATATGAGAGAATTTCAAAATTATTGTAGCGTTCTGTGAAAAAAAATCAAGGGAAACAATTTTCGATTTTGAATATAGTGATTGATGCATTCTATAGTGCTATATGAGAGAAGAATATGAATGAATTTTACCCACTGTCACTATCAAATTGCTCAAGATACGACAGTTTTTTTTGAAAATACTGTTTAAAAATTTAAGGTAAAGTGACTTTGATAGTAGACGCCTCAGTTAAATTTTTGAACAATATTTTCGATTTTAACGTTGAACTTTTTCTCTGTAATGATGAACCATGTTTGATCTAGAATTAGCGGCTAAAACAGCATGATTTACCCTAAACTATATTTGATTTTTATATTTATACAGCGATAAAATTTGCAAATGTGCAGTCAATTAGAGAATGTATATAGTTAGCAACTATTGTCTGTGGATTTATTAACCTATGAGACACAGGCTAAGATTAATTCGCATGACTCTTAATAGCCCCCTAAATATGACATAAATCTATATATAATGTATTTATTTTGGCTTCAGCTATGGAGTAGTTATGCACATAATAATCTTGCATGACATATCACAACGGGTAGATAAAATAATCAAAGTTTCAGCTCAAACTGCCATACCCTAAGAGAGTTATACTCCAAACAAAAAAAAATATCGCCTGATATTTAGTGTGATAACTATTTTTTAAAAATTTATTTCATATTTTATTTTAACAGAAACTACCACAACTTTTTCATTGTCTTTGACCACCTTTATCTTCCCTTCATTGACGTTCTTTCAACACCAGCCCGACCAATTTTAGATGCATCATTAAATGCCAAAGTCGTTTTTAATCTTGCATGAGAGGTATTCGAGGATTGACTGTACATATGGTATACAGAAAAAATTGTCGTAAGAAATGTTATGGAAGAACCAATCAACTGTATATCCAATAAGTACAAAGTGTCAACTGTAATATTGTCAACTTTGAAGCTCAAATAAAAGAAAAACTAATCGCTTATATGACATTCTCTTCCAATAGGTAGCAATCAAAATTGAACTATTTAACCTTGTGTTCCTAATATGTCGAGATTTTTCGGAGAAATCTGCGATTTTTTGTGTAGTAGTTAATAATTTTGCAATTCATTCATGTATATATGATAAAGATCGAAATTAGGCAAGAAAAATCCGTCAAAATATTTGTTATGACATAATCACAGATACGAACTGAACAATTAATATTAATCTGTATCAAGGAAATATTTTTGAAGAGTTTTTATATCGATATATGAACATCCTTCTCTCTTGAAAAGGGCAGAAAATTGAAGACGTTAGGAAACCTTGCTCATTTAATTAATACATTCATAGAAGTCATATCAATAATTAAAAAATTCTAAAGAAAAAAGTAACTGAATCGACCAACTAAGTTATATTGAGCATTTGAGAAATAATTTTTTGACACGAAATTATTTCCAAAATTCGATGTTTGCCTTTTGTCCAGTAATGTAAACGATTTAATAGAGTTTTCTAACAATTAATATTGATGAGAGGTTGAAAAAAAAGTGCTTTATTCGGTTGTTCGATATTATATGAAATAAAACGCAGTCACTTTTACTTTTTTCTTTTCTTTATTCTGTATGCATTGAATAATAGCAAATATTTTGCACGGTTATTTTTTGCTTCAGTGATTTTTCTTTTTTGCTCGATGAGAAAAAGTAACTGATGTTATTACTGCTTTGTCAAAAAGTAAGTAACTAGGGTTTGTTTTTTTCCTTGTTAAAATTAAGGTAAAGATGACTATTTACATTTATTTTACTGTAATAAATTTAATATAAAGTGCAATCTCTTAGCTCTGTAGTGGCTAGAAAAGATAGAGCGATTATAAGATAATAGAGATGATGAATATTTTTATATTCTCTTATATTGTTTGTCTTCTATGAATAGGTTTAAAAATAACGAATCGGATAAAAACTCATCACTAGTGTCACCTATATTGTTAGATCGTCAATGAAAACATTGCTTAAACCTCACGATATATGGATTCTTCCTCAACATCGATTAAAAGTTCGAAAAACAAATCTGATTCCAGCGATCTGTGTCTATAATGGTATTTTTGTCCCAATTCATGCAGGTCATATTTATATGCTGGAAGATGCAAAACATTATATTAATAATCTAGGAACACATGAATTATTAGCTGCATATGTGTCTCCTTCTCATTCTGGATATGTTGCAAAGAAATTAAATCCAGAAGAATTAATTGGAACTGGACATCGTCTATCAATGATCTATCTTGCTATTGAAAATCTTGATTGGGTGATGGTAGATTTATTTGAAATCTTCCAGCCATACGATACTTCATTAAGCATTCTAATGGAAGCTTTTCTTTCACGTGTTCACTCGCAACTTCCTGATGGCGAACGAATTGATATATTTTGGTTACAAGGAGAAAATGCACTGTTTCACAATAAGTCACTGGATAATCCGATTCAATTGGGATTTCATACAATATACATTCTAAATCGAGGATCGTATGAGAATGTAATCAATTCAAACAATCAATTGAAATCTATTCAAGATTGTCATGAAAACTGTTGCCGAGAAATACGAGACTCATCTTCTTTTCCAGAAAAGTATAGCGATTAATCTTAAAATAATTTCATATTTATATATTCTTATCTGTTAGATTTCATCTAATTGAAGCAACACATATGAATATTTCTTCCAGTACTATTCGGACCTGTGCACAAAATTCTTCTATAACGTGTAAACAACTCCGATCATGTATCCAACTTGATAATATCACGACATACATCATAGAACATCAACTGTGGAACACACGTTTAGATACATGGTCTACTACGATGTCAGCTCTTCCTATCTTCCCCAATACAATAACTGATCTAACATCTGAAATTCTTTCATACATGCTTACTGCATATTCGAGCTCAGCAGTAAAAGTAAACTCCTTCATGTATGAACAGATTGGCCTTGGAAAAGGTTGGAATGCATCTGTGTATCGTCTTTATGATATCCAATATTCGTCTGATAGTATGGATTGTCTGCCATCATCTATGGTGTTAAAACTATCAACTGGCATTTGGCTACAGCGTGTTGCTTCGATCGAACCAGAATTTTATTTAAAACTTGGACCACGCATCTCTAATATCGAAATTCCTAAATGTTACTATGCTACTCGTCATCCTTACTCTCCAAACGAGAGTTTACTGCTTCTTGAAGATCTTTCTGTGAATTATGATTCATTAGGTCCACAAGAATCACTAGAAGATTCAACACTGTTTCTTTTAATTGCTTCAATCGCATGTTTACATGCAGAGTTTTTCAATCATCCACTCTTACAGCAAGAGATGTTCTCATGGTTGCCTCCATTCAATTCAACAGTTACACATTATCAATGTGAGTATGCACTAATGATGGCTGATAGAGAATACACACAATTATTAGAATCGAGAGTGTCACACAAAGCATATGCTTATGCCAAAGCACTTGTTACACATATTCCACATCTTTTTCAAACACTGACCGACGAACATTACACTTTATCGCATGGCGATTTTTGGATTAACAATATCTTTATGAGACGCGATCAATCACATCAAATAGTACTATTCGATTGGCAGACTTGTTGCCGTGCAAATGGATTAATCGATATAGTGTTTCTCCTACGTCTGCTCGACAATGATCGAGCTCGTTCGCTCGAGTCACGAGTTCTCGAACTCTATCATCAAATGCTGGTTAAGTATGGGGTTTTGCATTATGATGCATCTACTATCCGTGATGATTATTACTCATTGGCTCTTCCATTTATGTTTGTCTTTATTTCTTGTTTGAAATTTCTGCAGGACACTAAGTTGAATAGAATAATAATGATATTGGAAGATATTATTACGTATGGAAAGAAAAGAACAACATGCGACTGTCAATTGGGCTTATAAACAAAGCAAAACGATAATAGGTTTTAGTAGATAGTATTCTGCTCTCTTCTTTAGTTCATATCATTCATCGTATTCTCTTTCCTTCAATATGACTAATTTTGTTTTTATGGTGATATTCCATTATTATCTTTCTATCTTTATTGTTTATCTATGTGCACTGATCAATTGTTGCAAGAATTTTATGTTAGAGAGAAGCATGTATAATCCAGAAATTCGCTGAGATTTAATTACTTTTTTTAGATTTGATACAAAATATAGTTAAAATAAATATATATTGTCAAAAAATGAACCCCAATCATCGCAGATAAAAGTACACAAAAATAACAAAAGCAATTGAAGATGAACAAATCAATGAACAATTATAACATAAATAGATGAGCAGTCGTTTTTAATTTTTCCACATTATCAGATGAGTGACAACTTCTTATTCTCACGTCTTTTAAGGGCCCCCAAAAACATGTAAATTTTGGTTAAATTTGTCGATTTTATGATTTATAGCTCGTTAGATAGAGCTAAGTGTCTACTTTCGAATGCACTATAGTTTATCGATTTTATGATGAGATTTAAGGATACTGCACAGCCTTTTGCGAACCTCTCATAGGAGAAAATAAGATTTTTTCTAAAAAGTTTTGGCTTTTTCTCACAATAGGATTTTTTATTTTTACGTTTCCGTGCGTCCCAGATTTCTCTGCCATTTTGAACGCTAGAAAGCTGGGCTCAGTGTCAAAGTAAAGGCAAAAATTAGCTTTACAACTTAGCGGAGTCAGATTTTTCGATTTCTTCATTAATGTTTATAAATTTCATCAGAGGAATTTTCTAAAAATTTTCAATTAACAATACAAACACCTCCATTGTAAGTAAATTTGCGTACTAATATTACTTAAACTTGATTAATAACTCAACTAAACTACACAATAGGATACGGCATGGGCTGCCCGATTGAAACTTTAATTCTTTTATGAAGGAGGATTTTTCCTTTAAGAAGACAAAAAATCTGATTTTAGTCGGCTTTTTTCTGAAATAAAAAATTGATTAAAGTGGTTACAATTGAATACTATAAAAAATATATTTTTTCAATTTTGAAGATAGATTTCCCTTGATTTTAATCTTTGCTAATCGATTTTTACAGAATAGGTTCAATCGATAGAATCATTAATTGATCAGAAAAGACTAAAATCAATGTAGATCTATTCTTAAAGCAAAAAAAAAAACGATTTCAATCGGATATATATAGCACCATTGTCATCGATTTACACTTAGAAAATAATCGACTTTATTCTGATTTTTCGTTAAAAAAATTTCTTACATGGGTTTTCTAGCTCACTACTGACAACCATCAGAAATCTTTATTGTGTGAAGGTTTTGGAAGTTTCATTAAGGCAATAGATAGAACTAGAGTATGTACTTGGTTCAATAACATCCCGCATATACACACAAGACCGAATACACTGTCAACTACATTAAGTGGTATGGGTTTCATTGAAGCGGAACAACATTAACTGTCTACTAAAATTAACAGTGTAACTAAAATTAGTAATCAATCGAACTCTTGGATATTGTTTAGCAGATATTTGACTCATGAAAATTTATGTTAATGAATGATAGTCTTCAAAATACTAGAATATCCAGAAATCCTGTATCCAAGTTGTGATCACTATGATAATAAACTTTTAGCCATGTTCTAATTTAATGACTCCAGTGGCTGTAGGGATTGATTGTTTATAAATCCCTTTCATAAAAGAAATATACTTTTAATGGTGTCATTCTAAATTGAGTCACGCCGAGCCATCAGAAAATGGCCTAATTTTAACGCTAGTTATACAAATAAAAAAGAAAAGAATAGCAGCTGAGAAGTTATTCTTGTGCCTGCTTATACTTTTTATAAAAGCAAGTGCTCGTTACTAATGTATAATGAAATGACACAGGCATATACTATAATTCAAATATTCTTTGAAAACTTCAAAACTTTTTCGGTAGCTATTTACTATTTAATTCCATTACAGTGTTTTTTGACATGATGAGTTTTGATAATTGATAACAATATTATAATTTATGTCGCTCTAATGATATTAGAGAGACAATGTCTATTGTAATATTTAATTTCGAGATTCTTAAGCAATCTCTGCTTATTATGTCTTACGGATCTGTTTAATGTTCTCTTTCAAATAAAGTTTTTTCTGACTGAAAGAAGCTGTTATACTTTTACGATGATGTTTTTCAACTAATTTCGGTAGCGATCAGTTTTTGCTTGTCCAACTTACATAGATGCACTCCATTCTTGGAATTCTGATGTTTCAAATATCAATTAAACTTTTGTTGTCCAGTCTACAAATACAAAGCCGATATGAGTTATTTTATTCCATACAATCTAGTTTCTATCTTAGTTTTGTTAAAAAAAACGAAATGATCTTTAAACATGTATGAAGTGATGAAATACAGAAAAGATGAGTAGCACAGGATAAGAGAAAAATTAGAAGCTTGTGTAGAGAAGAATATTAAAACGTACAGCACTGTGAAAAATCTTGGTAATGAATTTGAAACGGAAAAGTGCTATTATTCAGCAAAAAAAAATTCAAAAGAAGCCAAAATTGGTATGTGATTCTATGATTTTTCACAGCACTGTCAATAGTAAGTGACATGTACGATTACACTAATATGTCTTTTTTCTGTAACAAGATGAATCAAATCCAATTCGATTGAAAGTTCTCTAATTACTTTTGGTCTCTGATATGGAGGTATTCAAATTTTATTCTATTCTGTCTTTCTAGATAAGTCATTTTCTTCAGTGTAACAGAGAATATTAATTTTTCATGTAAGATTAATGATCAATTGGAACAGAATGGATGTTTTCGAACCAAGAAGCACCGTCACCCATGTAAACGCTAAATTAAAAATAGACGCTTTTCAATAAAAAAAAACTATGTATACCGGTAGTAGAGAGATGAATTAAATCATTTGAAATCTCATACAAAACATCCTATTCGTTATTGTTTAAGGCCTGTATTCGCTTTAGTTAGGAAATTGCTTGTTATATGAGAAGAATTATGAACTCAAGAACTTCTTAGCAACAACCGATTGTTCCATCAATCAAATAAATCATTCATCTTCTCTTAAGTAAGCTTCCTTTTAGAAAACACCGAGTTCCAAAAAGTAAGATTCCATTCAGTTGACCTAAAGAGTACTATAAGTGTAAGAGTAAAAATACACCCAAAATACTTCTTATTCATTTCCTTTGACTAGAAAGCTCTACTGACATTCTTTAAACGATTGTATAACTGTGATGATTTCAGAACATTTTTAGAGTTTCTCAATTTCTGATAGCTATTAAAATTCCCTAGGACCTGGGACTTCTTAGAACGATGTTTCCTTTGCTTTGATGGCTTCATCCCTTCAATAAGTTTTTGAGTTACAGAAATTTCAGAAGGGTATAGTTCATGAAATTCAACTAGGCCTTTCCCATGACTTGTAATTTAGTGTATCTGAAGAAGTCCTTTCTATAACTGATGAAGAAAAATAAAATTGCGATGCAAAAATGTTCGATACGTTTTAAAATTCTATCAACTCTGTTTTCTGTTTGATAAAATATTGTAGAAAAAATCAGAAACTGAATAACATCTTTGAAAATGGTTTCAATACCGTAATAATTTTTGTCTTTTGAGTAATATTCATCAACGTCAGAAGATTACAATCGAATTTTTACCATTCTAAAATCAACAGCTAAAATGGTTAACTAATACAATCATTGGTTAAACTGAGTAATATCTTGAGCAGGATAAAAATCTGATTCGATGATAAAGATGAAATTTACCTGATATCGATGATAAGTATCAGTGATCATATTCAGTCGTCAACTATGAAAAGATGGTGGAACTTTGTTATTCATAGATGTTATTTGTGTTCGAATAGTATGAGTCGTTAAAATGAATGATTGCTAAGTTTTTTCTTTTATATGTCGATTTGTTTATTGACAATGTGTCACAAACTTTCATTAGGGTCGTGCAAATTTTTGTTTATACAGAAAATTGAAACAAGTACAGTGTGACGAATTCAAGAATAAAGCAAATTTGTTAAAGTAACGACGCATATCCAATATTTTTACCAACGGTTCATAGGAGCTTCTGGCGTATGTTCCTCTTGAATATATTCGAGACTTCTTTCAAGTTTTCTTTCTCTCCACTTCGTTGTAACTTTCAATATAAAAGCAAAGGGAAAAAAACCCATAAATACACGTTTTGGAGGAGAAGAGAGCAAATTGACGAAACAGAGGAGAAAGAAATTAATAAAAAAATGCCAACATTATGATTTTGTTATTCTTATACAAGATAAATACCAAACATGGAACATAACAGAAGACCAAAAACTAGGTTGCCACAGATCGTGGCGAGATCGCGTGTGAGAGGAGTGTGCATGTGGATGTAGGTGTAGTTTTTCTCCTCATCGGAACATGCACAAGTACATCCACATTCACACTGTAGGTAATAAAATTAGATTTCAATTGTTTTGAATGTTTTGTCCATAATTTGACACACGCCTTTTAAATCATTTTCACTACACCTTGAACAAAATAAAAATCAACTCGAGTATTTGCCATTGAGCGAACTTCTCGTATGTCTACACGAACTAAAATATGCTCATTTATTCGATTAGCACATAATCCACAATAAATCGGTGATTTTTCGTAGTATACAGATATGTTACTGTGAACATATCGATAATTTCATCGATAATCAATATATATCCTTGAGCATATTAGTAACATTCGACAAGGATTTACAGTATTCTTGTAAGTCTTACTGCAATGCTTCAAAATATTAATAAAAATGTCGCGTTATATTCTACAAAGTTAATTCAACTAATTATATTCGATTTAAAACTCGAATTATCTAGGAGTACCCAAAAGTAATGGTGAAGTTACCTTATTTTCGTATAAAAGGCTTGAGAAAATTTTCTTTTTTTATGAGGTGATAGAGAAAACGAAGATCTATTTTTCTGTGCTAGTTATTTTATCTCTATTCAACTGATACCATAATAATAAAATTTTGACAAGAACTGTTTTTGTGTAAAATATAACTATAACATTGAATCATATTTTCATCCATGTGCATTTTCTTTTTGATTGTTTCTTGAGAGAGTAGGTGTGGGTATAGTTGTTGACTTAACTCACACTCACACCTACTCTCTCGAGAAACAACCAAAAAGAAAATGCACATGGATGAAAATATGATTCAATGTTATATTTATAGTTTACACAAAAACAGTTCTTGTCAAAATTTTATTATTATGGTATCAGTTGAATAGAGATGAAATAACTAGCACAGAAAAACAGACCGTCATTTTCTCTATCATCTCATAAAAACAGAAAATTTTCTCAAGCCTTTTATACCCAAATAAGGTACCTCCACTACTAGTTTTGGGTACACATAAGTAAATGAGTAAAAGTGAGAGAATGTTGTTGCTCATCAACTACACAATTGTCTCATTGCAATAGAATTTTTTTCTCCCATGTGAACGTTCTGATATCGCACAAACGCAGTGCTTTTTATCACTGTGGGAATAGAAAGAGAGTAGTTGAGATAACTTCAAGTTATTATCTTTATCTCGCTCCCCGTTTCTTCGTTTGAGACATCCAAAGAAGATGCATATAGAAGCTTCTAGATGTATTGAAGAGCGAAAAACAACCCACTTGTCGATTACTCGATAAAAACTCGTGCACAGACAAACGGTACTCATTATTGTTGCGTCTTCTTCAGATTATTTACTGGTAAGAAAGAATTTCACCTTCAAACAAAAAAGATCGCATAACTTCTTTTCAATCTGCAGTAGAATTTCACGTGCGCCTTCTAAATTACAACATGCC